GTATTAATTAAAACAATTATATTGTAAAACAAATTTTAAACAATTATTTTTTTAAAATTCGTCAAATTTATTTAAAAATTACATTATAAAATAAATAAATTATGAGACATTAAAAAATTATATTTCAAATTAAAACACGTAAATTTAAATAGAATAAATCACATCATTCATCACTGAATTTTACTCTTTTTCTTAACTTTTAATTTTTTTATTTTACTTATTAAATTTTACCTATTGAATTATTTTTATTCACTCCACTGTTAAACTAATAACACCGTTATAACGGGGAACAGTTTAAAGTTTAAAGCTTGATAACATGGGACAGTTTAGTAATAAATAATCACATCAGACTGACAAAAAATAAAAATTATGAATATTTAATGCCAAATAAGAATTTAAAATAAAAAACTGAAATCAAATCTTATCCCCGACCGTCAATTTTAATCCCTTTTAAAAACCACATCAGTAATAAACTCCACTTTTAAAAACTTCATTTTAATCCCTTTTCTACTGATGGTTACCACCAACACCGTCAATTGGTCGAATACCTAATTATTTGTGGTCGGTGAACCACCCACGACCATAACCCCCATGCTTTCACGACCAATCGAACGCCAAAAAATGATGTATTGAAAATTTTTGTTATAGAGTTTAGAAACCATAAAAATTTCTTAGATCAATTGTGGTAATCAATCATTTGATTGGATGTGGTGATTGGTCGTTTACTGTTTGGTCGGTCGTGGTAATTAGGTGTGGCAGGGGAGGGGGAGAAGAAAATCGAGAAGGGAGAAGGGGGAGAAACGCACCTATGCTGAGTTTTTTTTAAAATTTTTTTATTTTTAATAAAATATTTTTTAAAAATTCAAAAATACCAAAATATGATATGTGTCACTTAACGAGATTATTTAACGATAATTAACGTCTGATTATCTAAAATAATAACGAAAAAAACATTAAACACTTAAAACGACGGAAAAAATGTTTAATAAAAAAATTTAAACACTAAAACATTTTTAGAAATATTATTCAGTTAATCATTTTTATGAAATGAAACTTTTGTTTTCCCAAAAAATATTAATAATTTTGATGCGGGAGTGGGTAGTGGTTTGGTGGCAAATACGCAACGGCGCAACAGCCGCCAGTACCTATTTCTTTTAACTTTTTCCGATTACGTTCTGATTGGTTAACATTTCCACTACTGAAGAATTAAAATACAACCATAGAAAGACAACCAAAGAAAGCAAACAATTCAATTACTCGACGTCTCTGTTTCTCTCGCCGAGCGAAAGAATCAAGCATGGGCGTTGTCGGAGTGTTGGCCTTACAGGGATCTTTCAACGAACACATAGCGGGCAATAATCTTCGAACCCTGATGTTCCGAATGCTTTGTTGACGAGTTTTCATGTTTGGCTGAAAGCCTTATATTATGCTGTATTATTTGCTTTTTGCAGCGCTGAGGAGGTTAGGAGTGAAAGGAGTGGAGATAAGGAAGCCGGAGCAGCTTCAGAGTATCAGCTCTCTTATCATTCCTGGTGGAGAAAGCACCACCATGGCTAAACTTGCTGAATTTCACAATCTTGTATATTCTCTCTCTTTAGTTTTTTATATGTGCATTTGTTTTTCCCCATAAATAAAAAGCATGGAAGATCGGAAACGCCGTTTTGGTTTGTTTTGTTGTTTCTTGCTTTTTGCTAGTAGTTAAAGCAAAAAACAAATGCTAAGATTCAAGATCATTTTGGTTAAGAATGAGTAAATAATTAGAATGAAGTAGTACTTCAAACGAAGATAATTGCAACTCTGGAGGTTTTTGATTTTGTGTATTTTGAGATGCTTTGGTACCTGAGATTGACTTTTTTGATCTATGCAAAAGGTTTGAACGAGTTTGACATTGTTAGATCCTTTGATGGATATATATAGCTGAAGGCTTTGCTCATAAATGAAATAGTTGCTAAACCTAACTCTGATTTGAGTTCATAATTCTTATAGTGTGCAAATGAGTTATTTGCAAAGACTGGCTGACCAAACAGCTTTTTTTATTTCCTGTGTCTCTCCTTTGCAAATGTTTGGTTAATAATCTTCATTTCTGGTCAGTTTCCAGCACTGCGTGAGTTTGTGCAAATGGGGAAACCGGTTTGGGGGACTTGTGCAGGTCTTATATTTTTGGCAAACAAAGCTGTTGGTATGTTCTGTTTGTGAACCGTATACAATTTGCACCAAGCAATTTACCAAAAAGATTATTCAAAAGCATTTGAATTTGAAATTGTGCAACCTTTTCAGGACAGAAAGAAGGAGGGCAAGAATTAGTCGGGGGTCTGGATTGCACCGTCCATAGAAACTACTTTGGAAGTCAGGTACTAACATATGCCTTCTATGATGCTTATAAACTGTATACCGTTGTATTGCATAATTGCATTGCTTAGTTGAACTAACCTTTTCCGCCAGAAGTTGCATTGCTATTAGTTAATAAAGACATCCATTTAGTAGAATGGAAATCCAGAAAAATGCAAAATTTTCTTTAGAGAAATACCACTCATAGAACATGGGTCCAAAACCTCAAATGATTGTTGGATTAGTTAAATGATTCCTGCCATGATGATGCAATAATGATGCTATGATGATGTTAAATGATTGTTGGATATACTGAAAATATTTATGTCAAATGGGTAGGGGATGATTGAAGGAGTCTAAGAATAGAGCTTACTTTCACTAATTTCACTAGGATATGGTAGTTGAATTCTTTATCATGACAAAAGGCTATGCATGTTGGTGGTGGTGTTGTTACTTGAAGATATCACCTTTCACCGTTCCCATTTATAGTGATAAATTTGCTTAAACATATTTGTTAACTAAAAGAACTGAAAGGTAGACGTTAAGAAAACAGTGACAAATCAGAAGTCTGTTTTGTGAATAAAACACTTTTGTTTTCATATATCTAGGATGTAGAAACCTCTTTCACTTACTGAAATCAGTTTTACAGGGGCAAAGAAGATTTCAACATCCCCCCATCCTTGTTTCCCAATTTGTTTTCAAGCTTCTAACATTTAACTAAATTGTTTTTCTTAACAAACTAACTTTTATTTAGATCCAAAGCTTTGAGGCAGAGCTTTTAGTGCCAGAACTTACATCCAAAGAAGGTGGCCCTGACACATTTCGCGGTGTTTTCATCCGTGCTCCTGCCATCCTTGAGGTGGGGCCTGAAGTTGAAGTGCTCGCTGATTATCCTATCCCATCAAATAAAGTGCTATACTCGAGTTCAGCTGTTGAAATTCAAGAGGTATATCGACATTCTTTCTATTGAATTCTTCATTACTATATTCAAACATAAAACAATAAAATTGTATGCATTCCCTTAACTAAATGAGTCTAGGTTTTTTAATCATGCTTTCGTGTAAATTTCCAAGTAACTGATTCCACATTTATTTCGTTTATTTGTTTCATCTCTCTGTTTCCTAGTCTTCAACTCCATCTGTATCGGTTCTTGTCATCTAAAATTTTGGGTATTTCAGGAGTCTGCTGTGCCTGAAAAGAAAGTAATAGTTGCCGTAAAGCAAGGAAAATTGCTAGGAACTGCTTTCCACCCTGAGTTGACTGCAGATACCAGATGGTATGAATATGTTAACCTTCAATTAAGTTCTTCAGTTTTGTTCATGTTCTCATCTGAGGTTTTAAATGTTTCTCATTTTTGGTTGCTAAGTTAAAGCGGTAAATGGTTTGTTCGTGCAGGCATAGTTACTTTCTAAAGATGGAAAGCGACTTCGGAGGGGCAACATCAGATGCCATTGTTGCAGTCAGTGAAGCGGCTTCAAGTTCCGACCCACGTACGAAATATGATCTTCCTATATTCCGATAATCCCCAGTGTCAAGGAGATTATTTCGGGTCTTCTTCAATTTCTCTCTCTTTCCCTTCCCTTCCCTTCGTCTCCATGTTTTTTGACGTTTCATCTTTTATTTCAAAGGCAAAGCCTATTTGACAAGTATCATTTGCTCTTTTTAGGTGACATTTGCTCAAATGACAGACCTATTTACCCATCGCTATATATTGGTATATTTTTCGACGGTGATATTTAGGTAAGAAGAAAATCGGTAATCAACGTACGCTGCAAATGTTTATTAGGAAAAGGAACTAGCAGCCTTGGTTGTAAAGAAAATGAAATACTATGTAAGCCTATCCATACAATAAACACAAATTATACAAAGAAATCTCAGTCCTTGAAACTCCATATTTTGTCAAAAATATGCTACACGTGGTGATCCAACATACATATATATCTTCATATACTCGTTCTTCTCTCAAACGAAAATTCTTTGGGTAAGATGTTGATCGAATGGTATGCGGATTCGCGTTCTTCACTAAAACTCGGTTCTTTTACATCTCTATCAGTACCTCCTTGAACTTGTTCCACCATGTTAGGATTATGGGACGATGAACCATCAGCATTATTGTGGTACGAGACGGACGGAGAATCCGTTTCCGATCGCTTGATATCGAGACTCAATCTCCCCGGGGAAGCATTAACGCTGTCCGTTTCGTTCCGGTATCGCCTCAAGAGCTGAGCCGGGGATGTGTGGTGCGATGGGGTGTTGGGTGTGCTAGAAAAAGGGGTGGCCGTGACTGAACTCTTGTTGCTCTTGACGTGTTTCCTAGCCGTTTCGTGCCAATTCTTTAGAGCCGTGGCTACTCTTTCGTTAAATATGGTTGGTTTCATATGTGAACCCATCTGATTATAGCAAAATAAAAAATCAATTATATAAAAATAAATAAATATATATATATCAGTATCTAGACGTTGAAAATATTGTTTATTTATATAAAGGTAAAAAATATATATTTAAATTACCTGAGTAACGAGGGCGTAAAGGGGAAGAGTGACATAACTGCAAAGAATTTGAACGACAACCCTATTTTGAAAGAAAGAAAAAAGTTAGAAAATCCTATTGGAGTGACAATTCCAAATAAGCAGTCATGAATGACGGTAAATAAAATAAATTTTCAACTTGTTTTACCCCATTGAAATTGAAATTACTAGATCTGCCAAGTCTTTATGAAAGCAAGAACTTATCCCAAATTCATACTGTAAAAAGAACAAGAACGAGAAATTTGATTAGAGAAATAATAATTATTTACGAAAAACCCAAACCCCAATTACACAGTCAAAAAGCAATTAACTGATTAAAATTAACATTGTTACGTACCCAAGTATATGCAAAGAATGCGAGCTGAAAGGCATTCTGCGAAAAAAAAGAGAGTAAAAAGTAAACAGAGGTTAAATTTGGGAGTTGAAAAAGTTCATTCGATAATTATGTAATGAATAAGGCAATAATTATACCTGAAAGAGAACGAAGCTGATGAGAAAGAGGAGGAATCTGGGCCGGTTGAACCAGAACAGATCGTCGCCCGGTTCAACGACCGGCACTCCTCGAACCACTTCTCCTCTCTCTTGAATCCGTAGAGCCATTTTGGTTATTATCACCTGCAGCTTTGTCCCCACTAACAGGATCACCTGCAGGGTTTTCACCAAATCGCAACCGTTGATCTCAAACATTGATCAACATTACATAATTTTAATGCGAAATTTTATGGTATTTGCTTACAATCAAGGGGATGAACGGCAGCCACAGATAAGAGTACCATCCTGCACCGTAAAATTAACCCTATATTTTAAATTACATTTTTTATAAAAAAAATAAAATATAAAGAATACCATACACACACACTTACCATGGGGGTTGAAGAGTAAGAAGAGCACAGCGCAAAACCATATTAGAGGACTGGAAAAATATACTGTAAATTGTGTTAGACTAAAGTATGAGAATTTTACAGAAATTTTATATTTTTAAAAAATAAAAAGGTAAGGAACAATAATTACCTGATGCCAACAACAACACTGAAATCTTCTTCCAGTGATCTATTTATGTATTTCTGAAAATTAAAATTGTTTTGGCTTTGGGGAGGCAGGTGTGCCTGTTGATAAATAAATTTGAAGACTGTTTATAATTAAGAAAATTAAAATTGAAAATATTGGAATTAAAAAGTATGTGGAAATAATTTATATTAAAAAAACTACCATCATGAATCCATGTCGAAGAGTTAAATAATCAACTTTAGGAACTGATCGAACGAATTGTCTAAAGAAACAAACCTGCCAAAAAAAGAAAGAAAGTGAGTTTATTCCTATAATTATTTTCTAAACTATAGTTTGATTAATAAAAATATATGGACTGCCTTAATTATTTTATAAAATACCATACATTATAATTTTCCAAGTATTTTGAAAACCGGACCGGATCGGTCAGTTCAACCTGTTCAATCGGGAACCGCTGAACCATTCGAACTGGACCGGCTGAAAACCAGAAAAAACCGTCAATTTTGTTTTTTTTTAAATTAAACCAAACGACGTCGTTTGTTAAACGAGCCAAGTCGAACTCGAGTATTGCTGAGCTCGACTTGAACTTGAAAACTTTAAAAGTAAGCTCAACTCGACTCAAACTCACGAGCTAAAAATTATCAAGTTCAACTCGAACTCGAAATATAATATTGAAACTTGAACTCGAAAAGACTTGAACTCAAAAAAAATTTAGAAGCTCGATTGAAGCCTAAAATTCGAGCTTGATTGAAGTGAAAGAATAGTTCACTCAATACTCACCAAGAGGCTCCATGATTTTGAATGCCAAATTACCTCTATTATTTACAGAAGTTAGTGTAGAATGTCAAAGCATCTTTCGGTGCAATTAAGGCACCGAAAGTAGGTGCATAATTTTTTATTTTTTATATGGATAAATTACAAACTATAGTCACTAAACATTAGGGTATTTACAAGATTAAGTCCTTAAGATTTAGCTATAAATACCCTATCTCATTTAGCTTCAAAATCATCCCAAAGCATTCTAGCTTTCTTCCAATACTAGAGAGAATTTAGAAAGTTTCTTGAGAGTTGTTTTCTCCTTTTTATCGAGAGAGAATTATCATTTTTTTCTTCTTGGTAGATCGAGAGAGGTTGTAATTCCTATTTTTTCATAATGAAATTCTTCTACCGTTGCCCGTGGTTTTTACCTTATTTTATTTAGGGGGTTTTCACGTAAATTTTGTGTCTCTTTTTATCTTCATTTTTATTTTCTCAAATTATCAGTTGCGATTTTGCTCTATCCGATAGCCGTCTTCCGCAACAATTAGTATCCGAGCTAGATTAGAGTGTGTAATATCTGCTTATTGTCTTTGTGGTTGCCACCAAAAGGTGGATCCTTCAACATAAGAAAATAAGAAGTTATTACCCATTCTTTGAAGGTTCCAGAGAACTATTCAAGATAGTGAAATAGTGGGAGCTATCCGTAGAAGAAGTTATGGCAACAAAATTTGATATTGAAAAATTCAATGGGAGAAATTTCTCATTGTGGAAATTGAAGATGAAGGTCATCCTAAGGAAAGACGGGTGTCTAGCGGCTATCAATGAAAGGCCGGTGGATTTCGCAGATGACATCAAATGGAACGAGATGGACGGGAATGCTATGGCAAACTTTCATCTAGCATTAGCAGATGAAGTATTGTCAAGCATCGAGGAGAAGAAGACAGCTAAGGAGATATGGGATCATCTCATCAAATTGTACGAGGCCACATCGCTGCACAATAAAATTTTCCTTAAGAGGAAATTGTACACTCTCCGTATGCCAGAATATACTTCAGTGACAGAGCACTTAAATACACTGAACACCTTATTTTCTCAGCTTACATCCTTAAGCTGTAAAATAGGAGAACAAGAACGTGCTGAACTTCTACTTCAAAGTCTACCGGATTCGTACGATCAACTCATCATCAACTTGACAAACAACAATGTCACCAGTCTAGTCTTCGATGACGTTGCAGCTGCTGTTCTACAAGAAGAAAATCGGCGCAAGAACAAGGAAGACATACAAGTAAATCAGCAACAAGCAGAAGCGTTGACAACGATGAGAGGGAGATCAACATAACGTGGCCAAAGCAGCAGTCATAAACATGGTAGATCGAAGTCGAGGAGCAAGAAGAATTTAAAGTGCTACCACTGTGGAAAGAATGGTCACTTGAAGAAGGATTGTTGGAGTCTAAATAAAAACTCCAATCCACAAGGCAATACCGCAAACACTTCAGATGATGGAGATGCTCTATGCTGTGAAGCGTCAACCACCGTGGAAGGCAGAAAAAGATTTGCAGATATATGGCTCATTGATTTGGGAGCGACATATCACATGACCTCAAGAAGAGAATGGTTCCATCATTATGAACTTGTCTCATGAGGATCTGTGTATAGTTTCAATGATCATGCCTTAGAGATCGTTGGTGTGGGAACCATCAAATTGAAGATGTATGATGGAACAATTAAAGTTGTTCGAGATGTACGGCACGTGAAAGGCCTGAAGAAAAATTTATTATCCTACGGATTGATAATAATGCAAGCAAGATTGAGACACAGAAAGGAATCATGAAGGTGTTCCGTGGAGCGCTTGTGGTGCTAAAAGGCGAAAAGATAGCAGCAAACTTGTACATGCTGAAGGGAGAGACTTTGCTAGAAGCAGAAGCCTCTGTTGCCTCATGTAGTTCAGATTCGGCAATGCTATGGCATCAGAAACTTGGACACATGTCAGAACAAGGAATGAAAGTCCTTGTGGAGCAAAAGCTACTTCCAGGCTTAACAAAGGTATCACTTTCTTTGTGTGAGCATTGCATAACAAGTAAGCAGCACCGGTTGAAATTCAACACATTAAATTCTAGAGGCAAAAGTGTTCTAGATATGGTTCACTCTGACGTATGGCAAGCACCAGTAACGTCCCTAGGTGGAGCAAAATATTTTGTCTCATTTATTGATGACTACTCCAGGAGATGTTGGGTGCGCCCTATTAAGAAGAAATCAGACGTGTTTTCAACTTTCAAAAACTTCAAAGCGCGGGTGGAACTTGATTCTGGAAATAAGATCAAGTGTTTCAGAACAGATAATGGAGGAGAATACACAAGCGAAGAATTTGATGACTTTTGCAGGAAAGAAGGCATCAAAAGACAGTTCACAATGGCGAACACTCCTCGACAAAATGGAGTGGCAGAGCGGATGAACAGAACCTTGTTAGAAAGAACAAGAGCAATGTTGAGGGACGCAGGCCTAGAAAAATCATTCTGGGCAGAAGCAGTCAATACAGCCTGTTATTTGGTGAATCGAGCTCCATCAACTGCAATAGAGCTGAAGACATCAATGGAGATGTGGACTGGTAAACCAGTTGATTATTCAAACCTCCATGTATTTGGAAGTATTGTGTACGTGATGTACAACGCCCAAGAAATTTCAAAGCTGGATCCAAAATCCAGGAAATGCAAATTCTTGGGGTATGCTGATGGAGTAAAGGGGTATCGCTTGTGGGATCCCACTGCCCGCAAAGTGATCATTAGCAGGGATGTTATCTTTGTAGAAGATAAACTACAAAGAAAAGAAGACGATGATAGCGCTGAAAAGTCAGAGACTACTCAGATACATGTGGAAAAAGAGTTTGAAGAATGAGATTCTTATGAAGCAGAACCAATACATGATGAATAAGAACCAGAGAGTTCTGAAGCTCCAACAACTCGTCAATCAGATCGTGTGAGAAGACGTCCCAATTGGCACTCAGATTATATTATAAAATGTAATATTGCATACTGCCTTTTAACAGAGGACGGTGAGCCATCAACATACCATGAGGCAATAAACAGCTCAGATGCTTCACTGTGGATGATGGCGTTGCAAGAAGAAATCGAAGCCCTTCATAAAAATAATACATGGGACCTTGTGCCACTACCACAAGGAAGGAAGTCAATTGGTAACAAATGGGTTTTCAAAATCAAGCGAAATGGTGACGATCAAGTGGAGAGGTATCGTGCAAGACTGGTGGTCAAAGGATATGCTCAGAAAGAAGGTATTGATTTCAATGAAATTTTTTGTCCTGTGGTTCGACTAACAACAGTTCGAGTAGTCTTGGCAATGTGTGCTACATTGAATTTACATTTGGAATAGCTAGTTGTTAAAACAACTTTTCTTCATGGAAATCTTGAAGAAGAGATTTATATGCTCCAACCTGAAGGTTTTGAAGAAGACGAAAAGAAGAACTTGGTTTGTAAGTTGAACAAATCTCTGTACGGTCTAAAGCAGGCGTCGAGGTGTTGGTATAAGAGATTTGATTCATTCATTATGTGCTTTGGATACAACAGACTTAATGCAGACCCTTGTGCTTATTTCAAGAGGTCTGGTGATAACGATTTTGTTATATTGTTGTTATATGTGGATGACATGTTGGTTGTAGGACCCAACAAAGATCATATTGAAGAATTGAAGGCACAACTGGCTAGGGAATTTGAAATGAAGGACTTGGGATCAGCAAACAAGATTCTAGGGATGCAAATTCACCGAGACAGAAGTAATAGGAAGATTTGGCTTTCACAAAAGAATTACTTGAAGAAAATCTTGTCACGATTTAGCATGCAAGATTGTAAGCCAATTTCTACCCCTCTTCCTATTAACTTCAAATTATCCTCCAGTATGAGTCCTAGCAGTGAAGAAGAGAGGATGTAGATGTCTCGAATACTGTATGCATCAGCAGTGGGAAGTTTAATGTTCGCTATGATATGCACAAGACCAGACATTGCACAAGCAGAGGGAGTGGTTAGTCGGTACATGGCGAATCCAGGCAAAGAGCATTGGAATACAGTAAAGAGGATCCTGAGATACATCAAAGGGACCTCAAATGTTGCATTATGTTACGGAGGATCAAACTTACTAATCAATGGGTATGTAGATTCTAACTATACAGGGGATTTGGATAAAAGCAAATCTACTACAGGATATGTGTTCAAAGTTGCTGGTGGAGCTGTAAGCTGGGTTTCAAAATTGCAGTCAGTTGTGGCTACATCCACAACAGAGGCAGAATATGTAGCAGCTACACAAACCAGTAAAGAAGCAATTTGGTTGAAGATGCTATTGGAGGAGCTTGGGCACAATCAAGAGTATGTCTCTTTATTTTGTGACAGTCAAAGTGCCTTGCATCTAGCAAGGAATCCAACATTTTATTCAAGGACAAAGCATATACGAGTTCAGTACCATTTCATTCGTGAAAAGGTGGAAGAAGGGACGATAGATATGCAGAAGATCCATACCAAAGACAACATAGCAGATTTCATGACGAAGGCGATCAATGCCAATAAATTTACTTGGTGTCGATCCTCTTGTGGCCTGTCAAAAACTTAAGCAACATGATGGTACAAGGTAGAAAGAATGGTGTGAAGATATGATTGTTCCAATCAAATCTTCAAGTGGAAGATTGTAGAATGTCAAAGCACCTTTCGGTGCAATTAAGGCACCGAAAGTAGGTGCATAATTTTTTATTTTTTATATGGATAATTACAAACTATAGTCACTAAATTTTAGGGTATTTACAAGATTAAGTCTTTAAGATTTAGCTATAAATACCCTATCCCATTTAGCTTCAAAACCATCCCAAAGCATTCTAGCTTTCTTCCAATACTAGAGAGAATTTAGAGAGTTTCTTGAGAGTTGTTTTCTCCTTTTTATCGAGAGAGAATTATCATTGTTTTCTCCTTGGTAGATCGAGAGAGGTTGTAATTCCTATTTTCTCATAGTGAAATTCTTCTACTGTTGCCCGTGGTTTTTATCCTATTTTATTTAGGGGTTTTCCACGTAAATTTTGTGTCTCTTTTTATCTTCATTTTTATTTTCTAAAATTATTAGTTGCGATTTTACTCTATCCGATAGCCGTCTTCCGCAACAGTTAGTTGGGTGCTCTTCTATGTTTCTTAGCCATGTGGGATTGTTTTGTTATCATATTTTTACTCTTTAGACTTTTGGGATGCTCTTCTATGTTTTTTAGCCATGTGAGATTGTTTTTAAAAAAAAATTAAACCAAACAATATCATTTTGTTATGATTTTTAGCCCCAAATTTATTTTTTAATTATAGTTATATAATTATATTTATTATTTAATATGTTTTACCTTAAATATTATGTTGTAGTTAATTTGAATCATTTTGTTTCACTTGATTTTATGGTTTTTAACTTATATATGTTATGACTTGCTTTGAATATGACTTGTGATATAAAAAATTATTTTTTATTAAATATTTTGATATTTTTATTTAATTTTTTAAATAATTATGACGTCGTTCAGTTCTTCCGATCGATCAGACTGATTCAACCGGTGAACCGATAGCATGACCGGTTCACTAACCGGTTCGGTTCTGAAAACCATGAATTTTCCATCCACAAATGTAAAGTCAAAGAGGTTCTATTCTGGGGAATTTCATTGACTATAATTGGATGGCTGTGTGGTTGACGGCCGTTGTCGTTAACTATAATATTTTTTTCACTATAATTTTGGTCATTTAAGACTTAATTTTACCGAGATTAATAATTCAAAATCGGCGGTAGATATTTTACTTTTATAGCACACAATTTACCAAAAGGGGTTAAAAAAATAAAAGTGCTTACAATCCACATTAGAATAGGGACTTTGGCCCACGAGCTCAGATGTCTTCTTCCAAATGATGTTTCCCTTGCAAATCTGAATCGTTCCGGGTCTGTTCAATGACTCGGTTATTTTCATTAAACTATCGCATTAATTAATGTATCTATGTACTTAAATACATGCACGGATGACGTGTTAAGTAAATGTATTTAAGCTTAATTTGAATATAATTTGTACTAACCATGTGTGTATTGGTATTCAATAGTTTCAGTTTCCTTTTCCCATCTCTTCCACCTACTCATCTACAAGTAAAAACAAAAAATATACATGTACATTTGTAACATAGAAATCATTACCCTCAAGATTAGAAAGATAAAATAAGCGGAGATTGGTTCAAGTGGTAATCAACTCGTTTAAGTAAGATTTTAAGTTCGAATTTTGTATATGTAGAAACTATCTGTTGAGATATCAAAATTAAATATGACGCGGGTCAATTCGAATTATACCTTAGCTCTGCCCAATCCAAGTGTAAGAATACAGTAAATCACGTGGACAATGGCTAGCACGAAAATGAAGTAATGGAGTTGGTCGATAGCATCGTATGAAATAAATGGCACTTTACCCTGAAATGTAAATAACACTTTATATTTTATGTAGAAAAAAGAACAGGTTCTTTTATAATAATAATAATTATTAAATTCAACTTCGAAAATTAAAGAAATTATAAAGAGAATCTCAACATGAAATACACGTACTCATCACCCCCAGAAACATTAATTATCAAATCATGTGTATCTTCGATACTCTTATATTTAACCACTTTTCTCTCCCTCCCTGGTACGTTGGTCAATTTACGTAAGATGGCGCAGAAAGAGACTCTTCTCGGCTTCAGGGAAACGTAATTGAAGGGGAAGTAGGGGATATGTGTTGCATACCTGATCAGCGCATTTGTCCTCTGAGCTTCCGGCCAATGACCGCCGGAAAACTCGACCGGAATCAGACATCATAAGAAGTCTCCGGCGCTGTTTGTTCTCCGATGAATCTTCAGCCGGCTCATCCAAGTTTTCTTCTCGATTCGTAGGGCATGGATGCCAAGTGGATCCAAGTCGCTCCGATATGCATATGCCTGTTATCGTACCTGATCCTACCGTTAGGAGCAACGATATAAATCCCAGCAACATAAGCTCTGTCACCCAAACCAATAAAAATTAGTCAACTTTTAAATCAAAGTAATAATGAATGATGATTTGATATGTTTGAGTTTTTTTTTTTTTACCTGACTTAACCTTTTCCAGAGCATCATAAAGCGCTCGTTTATATTTCTTCTTCAACCACTGCAAAACGCAGACAAATGATCAATCAAAACACCAGCCGAAGAATAAGCTTTTAATTAAAAAACCAAAACACAGATGATACCTTTCCGATCATATGGATTATATGTTCGATGATGATTGAAATCACAACCAAAATAAAACAAACAACCGCGACAGCCCATTTCGGTGTTTCTTCCAATGATCTCGAAGGTGTTCCGCCTTCTGTCGACATGTTTTCTGGCTTTTAATTATTTTCCCACCAACTTCAAAACTTTCGAAAACCTTGTTTTTCTGAAAATCGGAATCAGTTGTTCGAATTATGTTACTCAGATTGAGTAAATTGCATCACAAGTAAAAGATATATACAGTTAGTTTTGGATAGAGCAAAGTGATAATATAATGTAAATGTCAATACTATATAAAATGGTTTAGGGTTTTTTTTTTGACGTTTTATTTGTTTTCGTTACTTAGAAAAGGAAATCAAATAAAAAACGAAGAAGGAGAAGAAATCAAAGAAAGTTGCAGAAGAAAGATGGGTAGAAGGGACAAGTTGGTTGACTTTGACTTGGAGACACGTCAGCATAAACACGGTGTGTGCATAAACAAAAGAAGAAAAGGGAAAAAAACAGAAAGAAACCAAAGCAAATAATTGATCCAATTCGAAGCAACATAATTCTTTGACCCCTTTGAACACATTGTTTGATTACTTTATGTTACTAATCTGGATGAACCGATTGCTATCCTAATTTATTTTTAAAAAAATATATTTAATTTTTTTATAATTTATAATTTTATTATAATTTTATTTTCTTTTAAAACTTTACAAAATTTAACATAAAATCATACGGTTGTACCTATTTTTTTATTAATACAAGGAAAATATAAAACAATATATGTTCAAATATAACTCTTAACCATTTGACATTGAACGCTCACACTCCTAGTATTTCTAGTGCTCGAACTCTGGACCTCAAGGAATAATAACAATTATTTTATCACTCAAGTCGTTTGATTCATGCACGTTTATACCTATCGAGACCTCGTTTGGTGTGACTTTTTAAACGCAATTTTAGCTAGAAAGCTCATTTGACCGCAAAATTAATGTCAAACGACTAAAAGATAAAAACAAATTTGTGGTGGAAACGATGGTTTCAAACCGAAACTAAGATTCATAGATTTTTCATTTTCAACTTTGCATTTGGAAACAAATTATAATTTTATCCTTATTAATGCATGGGCTACACTCGGTTATGTGTGTACATTTAATTTCAATAATTTAATATTGATATACTTAAAAAATAATTTATTAGTTAATAATTATTTTAGTTACTTAAAAGTAATTAAATACATGATTTATTTCACTTTAATTATTTAAGAGTGACGGTGGTAGGATTCGAATTTGATTTTATAATCTCAAATTCATAAATCACAACCACTTGTACCAAACACTCATTGATTGTTTATTTCACTTTAATTTACAACCACTAATGTATTTTTTGTAATATTCTTTTTTGTCAAAATAAGTATATAAATTATTATTTTGTAATAATTTTATATCCACTTTAAAAAGTATTGATAATATATTTTCTCTCAATAAAATATTTCATTTATAAAATATTATTAATGAGTTATCTTAAAATAATTTTTATATTTTATTATAGTTTAAATTAATATATTTTAGATATCATAGCATTAATAAGTGTAAACATAATTTAAAATTTATATTTTTAATTTAGAACATAATGTTTAAAATAGACATTTTATATTTTCAAACTCACTTTTTAACAATAATCTTAAACAGTTAAATTTTAAACTACACCTTTAAATAAAACCTTAAAAATTATTTTCTACCCCACTTTTAATATTAGAAGTCACTGCTAAATTTGTTCATAAAATATTATATAGTTAAAAGGATATTTTAAATTCTAAAAATACAATTTAACGTATTAGAATTTTAAATTTCGAATATTTTGATATTTGGTTAACATTAAATTTTAAGATAGAGTTTTTCAATGATAAACTATTGTAGATATAAGCAGGCAAAACTTAATTTAAATATGTTTTTGGCTAATAAAAAAATTGGATTAGATTTTATTAAGCTATTTTTTATTCTATAAATAAAATATCATTTGAATATTTGATAGGTCGTTGAAAAAAGCAAATCAACTTAAAATTAAAATTATATTTTTGTTTTAATTATTTTCTTCATTTTAATCCCACCCCGAGTCAACATGCACGTGGAAAACAATTTAATTATTTTGCTTTTATTTTGGGTGGCTTTTGAAAATCCCTAGCTCTTAATATATAATTATACTAAACTAAAATTATTCAATAATTATTTTTCATTTTTCGGTTGTGGAAAAGGCGTGTCAAATATACATTTTTTCCCATTTTCCGGTTTAGAAATCATAAATTTAAGTATTATTTTATTAAGTTAAAGTGATTATAAAGTAGTACTTGTTCTAAATATTCTCAATCATTTGACAATAAACGCCTAATCACCCTGCTGGTGCTGCTGGTGCTTTACTCACGACCTCTAAGAACAATAATGATTCCTTTTAACCACTTAAATAAATTGGTTCGTGAACATAATAAATTTAAATTTCATGGACACACATTTTATAAATAGGGTGTAATATATCTTAATTCTTTGTTTAAAAGTGTTAAATTTATGTGTAAATCTTTTAATAAGCTTCTTATAACCTAAGAATGGTATATGGTAAAATAACTCAATTTCTTCTCCAACAAGAAAAAATAGGGTTTAACTCGTAGAATTTGCAAAAACTGTATCAGCTATAATGTTTTTTTCTTTTTGTTTATAAAACTTATAAACCATAATAATTAAAAGATTGGCTTTATCAATATAATAACTTGTAGAAGCTGCGACTGGGTTTACTAATTGAATTTATCAAACAAATCATCTTCTTTAAATAATCATCAAGTCTAATTTAACATTATTTTGAGATGAGTTACCGGTGAAGGTTTGTATTCAAAGATGTATCCGGAAATGGATTATCAAAACAAATTAATTAAAATTCCGTTGAATATCATTAGTTTAACATATAAAATTCTAAAATTCTAAAAGACTTAACGCATAATTACAAATTATTTAAAAGTTTGAAGGCGAATTATTTAAAATAAAATATTAATTATATTATTTTCCATAATCTTTTTTTAACAATAATTGAATATAATATCAACCCCTAAATTAAAAAGTCTTTAAAAAATTATTGTTTAAATAATTTATAATTGTGTGTTGAGTCTTTTAGAATTTTAAATTTCTATACATTAAATTAATAGTGTTATGCGATTTTCGTCGTTAATAGTGTGCAACAGTTCTCGTTGAAACGTTATTGAATTTTCCTAATTAATATTACTTTATGTTGTAATAATATAGATTTACCGATGATTTTTTTTAACCACCAAAGTAACATTCTAATCAATTTTGTCCTTTTAGAATTGGGATTACACCTGGGTGAAGAACAACCATGGGCCACATTGATTGTCCACTATTGAATGGGTTGTCTCAGGAAAGACGGATTAATATACGGTTAATATACGGCGTTACATGATACATTAAAAGATATTTGTTAAATTCGGTTTAGCGCTATCGAAAATATCGAGTAATAATAATGTAATAGGTAGAAATCATGAAGAAATATTAAAAAATTTGGTAACCGGCAAACTTAGTTTGTCGGTTTGTGTCGATACTTTATAAAAATATATTGATCCATAACAATATAACAGGTAAAAAAATGACAAAACCGGTCTATAAATGACAAAACATGTAAAGCGCTACCAGATATATTGAAAGTGTCGATACTTTATAATGTATCGATCCATAACAATATAACAGGTAAAAAAATGACAAAACCGGTCTATAAATGACAAAACATATAAAACGCTACCGGATGTATTGAAAGTGTCGATACTTTATAAAAATGTATTGATCCATAACAATATAACAGGTAAAAAAATGACAAAATCGGTCTATAAATGACAAAACAGGTAAAGCGCTACCAATATGTTGATAGTGTCGATACTTTATTATAAGTATCAACACTTTTTGAATTTAAAAGAGAAGAAGTTATAGTGCTAATAAAGTGTCAATACTTTATAAAAATGTATCTATCTATAACAATATAACAGGTAAAAATATGACAAAATCGGTCTCGAAATGACAAAACCGGTAAAGAGCTACCAGATATGTTGAAATTGTCGATACTTTATTATAAGTATCGACACTTTTGGAATTTAAAAGAAAAGAAGTTATAGCGTCAATAAAGTGTCGATACTTTATAAAAATGTATCGATCCATAACAATATAGCAGGTAAAATATGACAAAATCAGTCTCGAAATGAAAAAATCGGTAGTAGAAAATTGTGCTTGTGTGGTCATTTTTATTTAATAATTTTCATTTTTTAATACAAAAAGTTAGATATTTTAAGCAAAACCCAGTAAGAAAAGAACAAAAACTTGCAGTAACAAAAGAATAACATTGGGAAACCCGCTATGTTATCAGTTTCTCAAAGAACAAAAACCTAGAAACAAACATCTTTCAACGCAAACTTATGATATACTCTTATTATCTCCGTAAGATAAAGTTAGGTCAGTTTTAGTTTTATTTTTTTTGTTAGGATTTTGTGTCATTGAAACTGTTGATTGAAGAACTCAAATTGGGCACGCATAAGTGTCGATGCATTTATGAAAAGTATCGATTTAAAAAATATCCAAATCGATAATTATTATGTAACAAATAAATTTACAATGTAACCGGTACAAATATACTGGTTAATTAGCAAATAGGTTTACATCGACACTCTTTAAATATGTATCGATACTTTTTTCCCAAATGAAAGCACAACGAGGTGCACGCATAAAGTGTCGATACATTTAAAATTGTATCAATCCCAAAAACATTAAAATCGATAATTATAATGTAATAGGTAAATTTACAATGTTACATGTTTAAATACACATGTTTAGTTAGAAAATAGGTCAATATAAGCGCTACCTAAAATATTATTGTACTTGATAATATTTTCGGTTAAATGATATAATATAACCGGTCTAAATTTTAACTGGTCACTTGTTTAACAGGTCACGTCGTTTTTAGCCATTTTTTAGGC